GATAAGAATTTTGGTACTGTTCAATTCAAAACTACACTTGACCCTGATGCCCCATTCCGTATATTAGATCTAAAAAAAACAACTGGTAAAACAAGAGCTGGAAGAGAGACTATAAGTGCATCACAACTAGTAATTATTCCACAGACATACAATAAACCGAATCCGATTGATTCAGAGAAAAAGAAAGATCTTCTTAGTCTTCTACCGCTGATAAATCCTTTGTATCATTCGTTTTACCATGGACTTAAAACCAAGTCCAAACAAACAGCTACAAACTCAAATGAAAACTCATCAGATGATGAATAGTTTTCAATTATTTACCTGTTATATTATTATTATTATTATTTTATTAAATTATTAACCATTTTTTATGAATATCTAGGTTACATTTTTAATAATATTGTTATTTTTTTTTTTTTAAAGCTATAAATGTGTAGTACCTACTTTGTTAATTTATTACAAGTCTGAGTTTTTATTTTATTTTTTATTTACATATTATGTTATTTTCTAAGTTTGAACTCTAATAAATTAAAAATTTTAAAGAAATGATAATATTGTGATAATTCTTTTCAAATTATTTAGAAAATACAAATTTTGTGTCAAAATATGTTATGTTATAAATTTATGAAAAAGAAAAAATGACTGAATATGATAACTGCATTTTAAATTCCTAATGTTACTAAAAATAATAGAGAATATTATTTTTTTTCAATTATTAGTTTTTTTTATGAATATTACATATGCATATTACACATATACATGGTTAGACAAAAATAAACAATGAAAAAAACACTCATAAAGTAGAATTTTTGTATTTTGGCAATTGTTGATTTTTTAAAATCGTTCTCCTGAAAAGTAGTCATTTTGCACATATCATGTTTAGGCTCTCAACCACAGATATAACCTCGTAAAAAATTATCTATTTTACAATAATAGAATGTTAAATATGTTGTTTATTTCAACTTCTACAAATGAAATCAATGCGATTTACCTCATTGTATAATAGATCAACTTAAACATCTTTTAGATATCTATTGGATTATTTCTATATAACATTCTACAATAACATCAATTTAACAATAATATTAGGATATTAAATATATGAAATTTGCGTCAAATAAAAACATCTGTTTAATGTATCATCGATGTTATCCAGAAACAGTAAAAACTGATATCAAAAATAACATCTATGGGTTGTTAATATGTTAATGCTGTGCCCTATTATTTTCCATACAGTTGCCATAAAATATATATGTTACGGTGAAAGATGAATATTGGTGAATGTCGTCATTCTCCGGTGAATGACGTCTTTTACAAAATTTATTCGATTTTGTAGGTAAATGATGTAAAAAACCAGATTTTAAATTCAAATGTACATCTTTCACCGGTCATTGATGTCATTTACCAAAACTAGTGGTAAATGATGATAAATCTCAAATAATACACTGATTTTTTTACTATAGGTACTATTTATAATAATGACTTAGTGTTGGTGGATGTTTCATTTTTTATTTTTGATATTTATTTGAAGAAGATAATAGATTAATTAAAAATATTTAAACACATGCATATTACAAATTATCAAATTATTTATTTGTACAATTTTGGTTACCATGATATTTTAAACTGCACAACATTTCCGCTGCATTTCAAGCACATTTTTTAGTACCACAACTAGTACACACATTTTTACAAATAATATTAACACATATTTGTAGCAAATACAACTCGTTATAATATGCCAGTCGATACTAACCAATAAACTAAATGAATCGACGTTATTGCTAATTGGGATTTTCGTTTATCTATCTACTTCCGTCATGATATTTTTAACTAACGAAGCTTATTCGGTACCTTCACGCTTATCACTGATCGTTTATACCGACATAAAAGTATTAAGCATCATTCTTCAATTAAACTGGTGATTGACGACAAAAACCGGGGAATGTCTGCATTTACAACGTTTACCAATTTTTAGGTAAATGATGTCATTTACCCGGGAATGACGTCTTTTACCACGTTTACATCATTCACCGTAACATATATATTGCCGTAACGAATTTCCGCCCAGTCGCATTTTAACATATTGCACCATGTTATGAACCCGGTATCGATTTGATGCTTCCAATTGGCCTATTTTAATTTGCCGCCTTAAAGTTCACGATCATAATTAATAATGCGATTATAATCTTATCAATTTATCATAATATATGAAAATGAAATCGTATCTGAAATAATATGCATATTAATATATCAATATTATGCCTATAGGAATATGTTATTATTATTACAATATTATATTATGTTGCATACTTACATTCGAATAGTGATGGTGGTATTATGTTATGAGTTAAGACTTTTAAATTATAATTTATAATACTATATACTTAAAGAGTGCTGAGTTAGTTATTATATTGTATTACTCATTTTTTCCATAATGTATCTGTTACGAATAGATATGGGGGTGAAGTGGCCGAGCGGACTAAGGCGGCGGTTGCGTTGCGCACCGTCGCCGGTTCGAATCTCGGTCACGGGCGGCGTCACTCTTCAGGCAGTCACGGTGTCTGGAGAGAGAAGCCGCCGCCCCCCACCTGGGCATGGCAGAAACCTACGGGTGCCCACTAAAAATTCTGTCAAATAGGCGTCCGAACTAGGCCTTCGGGCCCTACTCCCGGACATAAGCGCCATATGCTAAAAAAAACGTATAGATATCAATATTGTTAATCGTATCATATATCATATTATATCCGTATCTCGCTATTGTTATCGGGCTAGTCGATCTAGGGTACCGACAGGTTTTTGATATTATTATTATAGTCAGTCGCGAAAAGTATGTTAAGTCGTAGAGGTGTCGACTCCTGCTCTTTTGAAATTAAAAACTTTTAATAAACTTTAAATTACTTATTATTTCATATCGTAAATAAATTAATTATTTATTTTATTGTATACAGTCCACTAATATTAAATCCTATAGTCGGTATAATTTTATCACGGCAACATTTGGTCCATTCAAACCGGATTTGAACGAGTAATATTATAAAAAAGTGCGTTTTATTTTGTCGTTTTTTAAGTTTAGTAGATTCAGCGTATCGACATATCTTAATGAATCTAGCGTGTCGTCTATAATGCGGGAAAGTGCGTCTATAGTTAATTAACATCCCGTAGATTGACTTCGTTTATCGCTATAAAATTTGTACGAGTACTGTTATTGCTGTGCAGAAAGTCCAGAGTACAAGGTCAGCAAACCAGCCCAACATCAAATAAAAATCAAAACGTCAAAGTGTCAAGGTAAGAGTGTCACGTTTCATAATTTTTTTAGTTCCTTTTCCTATTTCGTATCGTAGTGCCGTCACCCGATTAGGATGGGAGAACCAGCCCCGGATTAAGGTTGGATTGGGCCCCAGGACACCATACACTTAGTGGGCCCCCTTTCAACTTTACCTTCAAAAAATTTTAACACTACATTTTAAAGACTGTATACTCATATTATTATTAATTCTTGTACAAAAAAAAAAAATAATGTTTTGTAATAATTTATTATACATACATTAAAATATTATATACATAATATAGAAAACACTGTTTTGTTTTAGTTAAAAAGAATAATAGCTTAAATTTTTTTCCTTGCTTTTTCTTTAGCGAATTTTTGAATCGTTTCATTAAAATCAATCAATTTCAAAATATCATTTTCAGAGTACAATACCATTAAAGATGTTAAATTTTCCTGAGTCTGGCTTGTTCTATATTTATTTTTTATTCTTGTTAATTTGGAAAATGCTCTTTCGGCTGAACAATTGGCCACTGGGATAGTTAAGTATAACCTAAGAGCAATTAAAATATTTGGGAATACTTCCTGCAATGATTTTTCGTAGAACCATTTTAATAAACTAAATGCATCACTTTCATCAAATGTTACTTTACTTAAATGTAAAAATGTTTGAAATTGAATAATTTCATTTTCAAGTGAAGAGTCAACATCATTTTTATATGTAGAAATACAATTCTTAATACTCTTTTGGACTTCACAAAATTCTATTTTTAGAGTTAGATTAATTATATTGCCTCCATATTTAGATAATAAAAACATGGACTGGACAATAAAACGTCTTATCATATATAAATTATATGGGTACCTTATGCGAATAGATCAAAAATGCCTAATATCAATTATTACCATATATACGTTATCAATTATTAGTATATAATTTTAATATTTATTATCATTTAGTAATTTTTCGTGATATAAAATTAAGAACAAAAAAAAGTATAAAAATTCTTTATAACTATTTTAAATGTATTAAAAACATATATTTTACAAATAAAGATGGGCCCTCAAAATCAATGGGCCCCGGGACCGTGCCCCCCTTTGCCCCCCCCTTAATCCGGGCTTGGGGAGAACCCGATATAAATACACTAATTGCGCGACGCGGCCAAATAAAGGCTATAGTAACTCGGTTTCAAAATTATCTAAAATCACCCGATTATGACATAAAACAAATACCACCACGTCAGCTCAAAATAGAAGACGCTTGGCAAAATTTCGAGTTAGTGCAAACAGCGATTGAAGAATTAGAGAATAGTACTAGCACAACAGATCATTCACAATATAGAATTGATTTTGAAAATTTATTTTTTGAGACGGTTGCGGAAGCCGAACAAAAAATTAGTTCTATTAGGGCAAACCAAAACGAAACATTATTCCGTAACTCGAACAACGGAGAGAGCATTAATTCGACATCGTCGATCATTAAATTAGCAGCGTTAAATATACCAGTATTCAATGGTAGTTATAATGATTGGGTATCGTTTAAAGACATTTTTACTGCATTAATCCACACAAATAGTAATTTAACACCAATTCAAAAATTTTTTTATTTACGTTCTTCTCTTAACGGCGATGCAGCAAATTGCATAAAAAATTTCGAAACTACGGCTATAAATTACGAGCACGCGTGGAAGACATTGACTGCGCGTTACAATAATGAAAAGTTATTAATTCAATGTCATGTAAAAGATATTGTGAGTTAAACGTAGTCAAAGATAATTCATCGGATAGTTTGCGAATGTTTTCGGATTCACTGCGTACTCATATATCGGCACTTGAAGCATTAAAGCAACGACCAACCGATTGGGGGCCTCTACTTATACACATAATATGTTCAAAATTAGACTCAAACACACTAACTGAATGGGAGGTGAAATCGCCAAAAACCGAAATTCCAAAAATCGAAAATTTAATGATATTTTTAGACGACCGTGCACAGATTTTAGAAGCAGTTGAATCGTCAAAAAATCTTATAAATAATATAAATACTATTTCGACATCGGAAATTAAAAACAACATTAATCGAAAAAATAATCACAATAAAACCCGCACAACTTCTATAGCATTCACGACCACTACCGAAGTAAGCTGTTTTATATGTAACTTAAAACATACTATTTACAAATGCCCCACGTTTTTGGCACTATCAATTAATGATCGTATTAAAAAAGTTAATGAAATTGAATTGTGTAAATTATGCTTACGTAAACATGATTCCAAAAAAAGATGTTTATCCCGAAATTGTTTCAAATGCGGAAAAACACATAATACATTACTGCATATTGTCCAACATAAAACCAATAATGATGCGAGATCGATAACGGAAGAAAAATCAAATCACTCTTCAACTCAAATTGACGTAAATTCCTCGATAAGCGCGCATTCGCATGACAAAAACTACGAGCAGGTACTTTTATCGACAGCGATCGTACGAGTATTTGGTGAAAATAAAAGTTCGTCATTATGTCGTGCTTTATTAGATTCAGGTTCACAAAGTAATTTCATTACTGAAGAATTGGTGCAATGTTTAAAATTAAAAAGGTCAAAAACTAATCATCAAATTAGTGGTATCGGAACAACAGTACAGCATGCACATTCGTATGTTATCGCTCAGGTGAAATCGAAATTTAACGACTATAGTTTTACCTTAAAAATGTTAGTAGTGCCGAAAATTACGAACGATATACCTGCGAAACACATATATAATACGGGTCACATACCGCAGAACGTAAGCTTAGCTGACCCACTATTCTGGTCTCCACAGAAAGTCGATTTATTAATAGGCGCAACACATTTCTACGATTTAATGGATGAACGTCGAATTAAACCTGCACCGAACGGTCCAATATTCCAAGAGACAAAACTCGGATGGGTATTATCGGGGCCTACGCAAATTTACGATCATAAGGTTAAACCGTTAAATAACAGTATATGCTACACCGCGTCGATACATACCAACGTGACATTAGAAAATATGTTACCACGATTTTGGCGTGTAGAAGAATTTGAAGGAGATAACACCTATACTATTGAAGAAAAGACATGCAAAAGTATTTTTGACAAAACGGTGATAAGAGAACCAGATGGTCGATTCACAGTGCATTTACCATTTCGCGAAAATTCGTTACACTTAGGCGAGTCTTACAATATCGCTAAGCGTCGTCTATTAAACCTAGAAAGTCGTTTTGCAAACAATACAAGATTAAAAAATGAATATACACATTTTATGAACGAGTATATAAGTTTAGGACACATGGAGCAAGTACAAGACGACCAGATTAATGATAAAGAAGAAGCATATTATTTACCGCATCATGCGGTTTTCAAAGAAGCAAGTACGTCGACTCGACTTCGCGTTGTTTTTGACGCTTCATGCAAGACTAGTAACGGCGTTAGTTTAAACGATGTATTGTTGAAAGGACCGGTTTTGCAAGACGATTTGATATATATACTCGCTCGCTTCCGAACACATAATTTCGTATTGTCCGCGGATATTACGAAAATGTACAGACAGTTTTGGGTAACAAAGGCCCATAGAATATTTCAACGAATCTTGTGGCGCACAAATCCACAGGAGAATATTAACATTTTTCAACTTAACACGGTTACTTACGGAACCGTTCCTGCGTCTTTTTTGGCCACCGGATGCCTACATAAACTAGCCGATTCACAAAATGTCGATCCTATAATAGCAGCGGCTATAAGGCGCAACTTTTATATGGATGATTTTTAGGTGGTACTAATTCTTATGAATCAGCTGTTCAATTACGCGATGGACTAATTAAGACAATGCAATCCGCCGGCTTAGAATTGCGAAAATGGGCTTCGAATAATGACAATTTAATTAAAGATGTTATGTCAATAAAAGAAGATAGTAACGACACGGTCCCCATTAGCGACGACAATTCGATAACGAAGGTCAGGGCCGGATTTAATGTTGTGGGGGCCCCAGGGCCCATACAAGATTGAAATATAAGATTTTTTAGTTGATCTACATGCTTTAAAACTTTAAAATTATATTACCGATGAGTTATTCTCTCATCATGCTATTAATTTCTTATCACGTCAATTTTGCTTATTGAACATAATTAATACAGATTTATATAATGTTAATACAATTAATAAGTAAGTACAAGTAACCTTTAAAGTCATCTCTTTTTATTTTTTTAAATTAGTACATCAAAACCATTAAATAAGTTGTTATTAAAATATATTTGATGCTAATGTAAACTAAAATAAATCCTTCAAATTATTTTCAATAAAAAATTTGATTCATTAAATAATATTTAGTACATTAGTACAAGGTACAACGTTATTTTATAATATACAAATATAAAAATAAAATACTAAAGAAATATAATGTACAAGTTATTTATAATAAACATACTTTTCTTGACTTCTTAATAGAAAATTGTTTGATGGTATCTTCAAAGTCCAAGGACTTAAGTACATCACTTTCGATACTTAAAATGGTTAAGTTGGATAGACGATCTTGTGTCATTGTAGTTCTTAATCTATTTTTTATTAGTTTAATTTTTGAAAACGAGCGTTCTCCACTACTGTTTGCCACCATTAACACCAAGTACATACGCAGAGCAATGTCTACATTTTGAAAGGTAACTTTTAAATTGTCTTCGTATAGTATCCTGAACAAAAATAATTCCCACGATTCTTCTTTTCTACAATCTTTTTGACGTAAATTAACCAAACCATTAAACTGCAGTAATTCGTTCCCTAAAGTTGATTCCAAATCTTCAGAATATATATTGACCAGATTTGTGGCAGATAATAATAATTCTGAAGTTTCTATAATTCCTAATTTGCTGAAAAATCCAAATCGTTTACATATTATATCATAGGCTTTTATTCTATCAGTCAGAGATGTATACAACTGATCGATAACAGGGAGAAAGTTATCAGATCGAAATTTTTCTGTTTGGGATAATTGAGTAGTTTCCTGATTTCTACTTTCCAATGGAGTGAGTCTTACATTTTGTGAGCAAATTCGAATTTCTGGGTAGTCGGTTTTTCCTGACATTTTTTTGGCCGCTTCTTTATATTCATCAAATGAATTTCGTTTATCTTGAACAAATAGTTTCAAAGAAGTAAGGGCTGTTACCGCAGATTGAAGAACCATCTTAGGATTTTGTAACAAGTGATTTGTGGCGTTGAAGCGATCTAAAATGTCATTCCAAAATAACAAATAAAACGCAATTTCAAAACTAGTGATTTTTTTCAGAAGTCCATTCGCTTCATTTTTAACAACTTCTTTTTGCTCTGGATCTTTTGAAATATAGTCCAAAGTCTCTTTAAATACATTATAACCTAATACTAATGCTTTGGTGGCATCTGCTCTACATGACCAACGAGTATCATTTAAATTTTTAGGAACATGAAATTGTGTATTTGAATCTTTCAATGATAACTTCTTAGTTAAAATAGATGCTTCATGTTGACGTAGTCGTTCAGATGCATGCTTCCAATCACAATACCCGTTATTAGATAGATTTCCTTGATTAGTTTCTAAAAGTTTATAAACGTAACAATAAATTTTCCTGGTGCTCGGAGAAAAGCAAAGCCAAAAACGATTAACAATTTCTTTATTTTTCGAAATCCTTTTAAAAAGATTAATTGAACATTTTCTAGTACCATGATCTGGACGTTCACATCGATCTTGATTTACGGACGATTTTTCAAATAATTCTTCATCACAGTTCTGTAAGTCATTAAAACCTTTTTTTATCCAAAAGGATATAATTTCCTTCGTACATTTATTAGGCCACAGACCAATATCATTTTCAAACCCCAGTTCTGGCACCGACTCTGTGTTATTATCTACACATTCATTTTTTGGAAATTGTTCTTCTAGATTTTCAACAAATTCTGTGTCATTTTTTGATGTGTCGACCACATTTGTCACTACATTCTTCGTTAATGGACCAATATTATTTTCAAACCCCAGTTCTGGCACCGACTCTGTGTTATTATCTACACTTTCATTTTGTGATTGGCCATCTAGATTATCATCAAATTCTGATTCGTTGCTAGATATATCAACAACATTTGTCACTAAATCTTTTGTTAATTGACTACTAGAATTTGTAACCAACAGTCTGGAAGTAGCAAAATAATTAGTCAGTTTAGGAATGGAGGAGAGACTTTCTTCTGAATTTTTTTTTTGATCCGCAGCTAATTTTCTTTTTTGTGCTCTACTTTTATACAATCTAGGAGTCTTGTGTCGATCACTCATTGTATATCTAAAAAATTGCTTAAAGGTCAGAAAACATTTTAAAAAAATACATAAAACAAGAGTTATTTTAGACCTAATTTACCAAATTAATGTTTGGTCATGCTACCATGATGTAGGTATCATATTATGTCCATATACATAGTGACTAGAAATAACTTAAATTTAAAATATTTTAATTACAATTCACATTTCATAGTAAATTATATTCTTAAAATATCAAATAAACTAAAATAAATTAGGATTTGAGTAACTTTATTAGCTGCCAAATAGCATATAAATATTATATTATCTTCTAACTTTTTCGTTCCACATTTTTTACTCCTTGTATGTATTAAGTAGGTACTATTTATAGTATAAGAAATTTTGCAAAAACAAATTATAATTTGCCTCTTTTCTGTAAATGCTTTTTAAAATATTTGTCTACTATTTCTTTTTGCTTCGATGGCCTATCAATTTTTAAATTTAAAAGGTCAGACAATCAAAAAAAGAACCTGGGTAATTAGCAACCGCAAGAGCCAAAAACACATATGATAATAAATATCTGAATATCATAAAACAATCAATAACGTCAATAACAATAATATATAGTTTGCTAAACGATAAACATAAAGTCGATAAGGATAAAATTACGCAGCTATATAATTTTATACCATGTGTATAATACCTTGTATAATACAGTTTTATACCACTGTACAATACAAACTCACATCTCTAATAATAACGCACATGCCGATGTCCCAACACATATATTTGTGTAGGTACATTGTGAATATTAATATTATTAACCACTCTAATTTATATTCAATAGGTTAAGTACATTAAATTATGAAAAATTAATATTTATTTTATTAATAATAAAATTATTTACTTACCCGATAGTAATAGTTGGCTGATTCAATACGTGACAAATTGAAAATGATAATGTTTACCGAAAACCGCCGCTAGCCACTCCGCAATGTGTACGGTTTTACACAAGTTTTAGGAAAAAATATGTATTATTAAACAAGCGATAAGCTTGATGCCCACCCCGACGGCCCACCGACCGACGGCGCGCTACGACGACCGACGGCTCGCTCCGTCGACCGGCTGCACGTGTCCGACGACGATGCCAAAAGAGAGGGAAATAGGAGCTCGGCGCTCGCTCGACCGTCAATCTCTCTGGACAGAGTATAGTTGCGTAGTTATAATATAATTTACTATTTATAATTAAGTAGAAATGGAAAAAATTACCTCACAATCTAGTGATTCGTTTTATCACACACTAATAGCACCAATTTTCAAACTTAAAAAAAAATAGTATATTGTTTTGCAAATTACTAAAAAAAAAAAAAGGGTAATCATTTTGTGGGGGCCTCTTATTAATAGAATCTTGTGGGGGCCCTAACGAAGGTTCTTGGATTGTTTTGGAACTCAACCACTGATACGTTACAATTTAAAGTGCAACAAAATAATTTTACAATCATAAATCAAATTACGAAACGCGAAATCTTATCGGTAATCGCATGCCTATTTGACCCATTACGTATTGCTATGTTTTCCAAACAAAGTATGGTAATCGGATGAGACATTTTCTGAGTTGGTATAAATATATAATTGATTGAGTATAGTATCATCAACGACTCTATTTTCTTTCCGTGTCGATTTTTAAAGAATAATAGAGAAAATCAATTTTTGTGAATGAAGGTTACAATAACTGGAAAATGCATTGGTAGTAATAGTGGTTTAAAAAAACACCATATGAGTAATGATCATGAAACTTCCCATGCAATGTGGGACATCTTATTTAGATATGAAAAAAGCAGGTAATGTTCTGTGGCCTCTCTAATAAATGATGGACATCTGAAACTAGTAAAAGAAAACCGTACTCATTAAATCAATAGAAGGGTTTTGTTGTATACAGCAGTACAAGGCATAGCTGTCAAAGATGATAATGAAGGAGAAGCAGCCTCAACGTGAAATTGTAGAACTTTGAACCTTATGGAAAATTTTAATGATGAATTTAAATCAAAAGAAGATTACCAAATAACGCCAAGTACACCAGTCCACAGATTCAAATGAAATGTTGTCAATTTTAATGATATGATCCAAGCCATAATAAGTGATGAGCTACAAAAGTCTCAATATTTTTCTATTATAGTAGATGAAACAAAAGACATAAGCAAAATAGAGCAGATATCAGTAGTTATAAGATACTCTTGAATGGTGTAATTTATGAGCGTTTTATGGGCTACCGAGCAGCTGAGTCATTATGTTGCTAAATCTCTTCTTGTATATATTAAAGAAATTATTGCCAATAGTAATATTGATATTATGAAATGTGTTTCACAAACTTATGATGGGGCCAGTAATGAGTGGACGGTTGAATGGGGTTCAAGCATTGTTTCGTGAAGAAGTACCTCAAGCCATTTATGTGCACTGTTATAACCATAGACTAATCTCATTATATCCGATGTTTGTAAAAATGTAACAAATGTAAAATGTTTTTTGGTACAGTGGAGAATTTATATATATTTGTATCCGGTTCTTCTGTACATGCAAAATTTGTTAAAATTCAAAAAGATATGAATACAAATCTATTATTGAGCTAAAAGAGTATGCTTGACCCGATGGACGGCAAGTATTTGCTTGTGTTTCATTAAAGAAGTATTGAGCCCTCTTCTGGTTTTATTAAACAATTTAATAATGAAAAAGTGATAGAGCAGCTGAGTCAAAAGGGATT